AAAAGAAAAACAAGCATCAAACACATACACAAATAATTTGAACCTTAATATGATAAAAAAGAACAAATAATCTGAAAGTATACATATATATACACACATATAAATTTTGAATAAAAAATTATTAAACTTAATAGATATATCAAAACATATCGAAAATAATGAAAATTCATATAACGAACATGAAATGAAATATAAAATTAAATTGAGAAGTAATACTAACATCTATCTCACTAAAAAAAATTATATTGAAAAAATATTTTTGTGAGTGTATGAAATATGAGATAGAGAATGAAACTCTAATTATGACAAAATATAAAATAAGTTTACTTATTACAAGGAGTGTATGTAACATAAAGTGAGTTTAGTTATTATCAGGGTGGGTATAGAAGAGGTAGACTTAATAATTTGATAATAAACAATTAAATGAGTTAGAATTAAAGATTTGTGGGAGTGAGAATTGCCCTGCCCAATTTGAATAGTTATAATAACTTTTTTTAGTTTGTGTATCTAACAAAGTCAATTTGATTGAACCATTTTGGACCAATTGAAGAATCTGATGAACTTCCACAATTCGATCACAGACTAATCAACCAAATATGACTTAACTTTTACGTGAAGTTCAATAGTTGAGTTTGTCATTTGATAATTTAAATGTTTTAAGTTCAATTTTTTCTCACACGCTTAAGGGATAGCTATCATTGTTCCTCTAAGGATATACTTTAGACCAATTCAAGGCACAAAAGTTAGCTGCTGAGTTCAAAATAGTAGTCGGCACAAATCGAGACACTCTATAACAAAAAAAAAAGAAGCGAAGATGACTTGATCCAAACATAATTAAACCTCTTGACTTGACGAATTCGAAAAAGAGTTTATCAATTAAGAGGTAGTTGAAATGATAATAGGGATGAACTATAAATCCAAACATTTTAAATTCGAATCTTGACAACTCCTTGAGGTCAGACCACGAGAAATTTATTTCGACGGGGATGGCCTATCTCAAAACAGATCGAAAAGGGGACTAATCGAGGTGTACGCCCAAACACCCCTGACCTAAAAAAAAAAGTAAATCCAAACTTTCAATACGTCAAGAAATCCAATTCAATTCATTTTAAAAGTTTCAATTGTTCTCGGACTAAACTTTCCACAGTCCATTTTTATCGGATCTCAATCTATTGAGAACTTCTAAATAATTGACCAACATGGATAGATGAAATGAAGAGGGTCTATCCGCCTCAGTCAGCCACAATTCAGGCACATGCAACTGCAATCAACCTGATCCTCTATCATAAAAATTGCATCTCTATGTCCGGCTTCTACCTAGACCCTTTTTTTTTTTTTTATCTCTTTGTTAAAAAAAAGTGGGAGAAATGAGAACGTTCAGAGACCACCGGATAGATTTTTATTGATGAGATCATTGATAGAGCACGAAAATAATTATACTTTTTAATGCATATTAAAAGTATAATCGTGATCAAGTCAATTAGATTTTTAATGCAGATTTTTATTGATGAGATCACTAATAAAAGTATAATTACGATCAATCATGATCAAATCTTCATCTATTTTGATCAAATGTTACAAAATTTATCCCATTTTTTTTTCTAGTCCAAAATTATCAATTTATCTGCATGACCTCCAAATGCTAGACAATTCAATCAATATACTCTCTAATTTCAAACAATTCTATCAATCCAAACATATCTCTCTATTTTAATTTTAAATTACATAATTATATTATTATTTAAAATATAAATATTACAAGATTAGTTCATTTTTTGATATTATATAGTATATTTAGACACAAGTTATTTCTACTTATAAGGTATAAATGACCAAACTTTTAGTCTTTCTGATGATGCACAAATTAGTTTACACACCACCTATCAAGTATGCAGTATAAAATGCAGTAAAATAAGTAGAGGGAGAAATAAGACAAGGTTTATAGTGGTTTGGTCAATATGACTTATGTCTACTTTGAATGACAAGGGTCGCCGGTATTTTATTATCTCCGATGTAGGGCGAGAACACAGGATTACAACCTCTGAGAGGGGAGTAGAGAATTATGCTCAAATAAGTCTGATGCCACCTAAGTGTTGGTGGAACTTATAATTTATAGTGGCTTAGTGTAGTAATTGTATAGCTAATCGGACGGTCATAAACAGGTTAGGCCCGTTTAATAGTTATAACGGATTGATGTGACTTTAATAGTGATTAAATAGTTTGGCGACCTCTGCTCTCCTCAATGGCAAGGAAGTTTGTGATGCTCTCCAAATGGCGAGGGGGAGGCTTTTGGACATTCCCTTGGTGGTGTAGAGGAGGCTCCTGGATGACCTTGCATGCTTTACCCCAAGGTGGTAGAGAAAACTCCCAGATGACCTTGCATGCTTCTTCTTAACGTAACTCCTTGAGGTTGATGAGTTTGACTAGACCGATCACATTGGGTTGAATTTGGTGGACCTCTTGGAGTTGGGTCTTAAAACTGGACCAAACTTATAACATGAGTTGGACCCTTGAGCTTGGCCCATCACTTTCTAAGGGCAAAGCTGGCCCAACAGTATGAAAAAAAAAACATAAGTTTTAAGGTTCAAATTTTTAGAAGATTTCATAATTTTAAGTACATCATTAGACCACAAAAAAAATTAAATTCATTAAATTTTAAAACTTACAAAAAAATTTTAAAAAATTAAATTCAATCAAAATTTTTATTGCAATAATTTAGATCTATAATCTAATCAATAACATTAAAAACTTAGAAATAAAAAAAAAATTCAAAAGTCAACCCATATTTACTCTCACCCATCTACTTTTTTTTTTCTCTCTCTCTCCGGTTAAAAAAAAAAGTTGAAATTAAACACTCTCTCTCTTTCACTGTGATAAAAAACAAAAACAAAAGTTGAAATTTCTTTTTCGACAATATTAATACATCATTCTTTTGTCTCTCTTTCACATAGAAAATTAAAAATAAATTAATTTTTTAAAATAATAATACTAAATATAAACAAAGCCTCCATTTAATGTTTCTACTTTAGATCTCAAATTAATTTGAGTCGCCCCTGTCTAAGGGTTAGCTACCCTTGTTTCTGAGGAAGATGTTCTATCTCAACTCATATCATAATGACCGTCATAAAATTTAAGTAAATAATCGACGTAGGCCTGAACATTATATAAAAAAAAAATAAGACCAAAATAAAATTATGGAGTAGTTATATCTCGCGTACAACACGAAGAATTTTCAAAGCAGCTATCACCATTCTTTTTCGGATAATTTATAATTTGCACCTTTAAGTATATGTAATTTTAAATTTAGTTCTTATAGTTTAATCCTTCTTGTTTGAAAAATACTATATAACCCAAATAAAACTCAAAAATTATAATTAAAATATATATTATTTTTTAAATGAGTATGAGATAAGTGTGCCACACTGAAAAAATTAATAGAACCCACTCGTTCAATCAATAATATACATTTAAATTATAATTTTTTGAATTTTATTTAAATTTTGTAGTATCACTCTTAATGTTTTAATAGAATTTTAGTTCGGCACTTCCATCCAATTTTGTCATCTTCATATGGTAAAATGGGGCCCCGATAACACTGCACATTCATTCATTGAGGTATGCTTATCCTATTCACAAAAAAATAAAATAAAAATTGGATTAATTATAAAATATCCCCTTTTATTTTGAATAGTTTATTATTCACTCTTTCAAGTTTTAATTTTAATAAATAGTCTTATTTTAATTTAAATATTTTACAATTAATTTCTACACTTAATTTTAAACCATAAAAAATGATGTAAGATAGACATGAAAAATTTATGGGTGTTGTTATTGAGCTGAACACATGTTTTTTTTTTTTTTTTTTTTAAACTTTTTCGTTTTCATATTTTTTAGTGATAAAATTAGTATATCATAAAAAAAAAAAAGAGAGATCATTGTATAAGATAGAGGGAATCAATTTAATTTGCTTGAAACTTAGGGGGTCAAATTACAACATTTAAAATTATAGAGAGCTAATTACAATAAGCTGCATAGCTTGAAGGGCAAATTTTAATCACTAATGCTAAAGGGATATAATTGAAGGACATAATTTGAGGATATAATGAGTTGTCATCAATGAAATGATAATGAAATATATTTATTGATGGGTCTCATTGTAGCATTAATGAATTCATTATCATATCATTAGTGACAACTCATTATGTCCTCAAATTGTGTCCTAATAGCATTACTCAATTTTAATTTACCCTAAAAAATTTACTATCCCAATTGGTTATTAATTCTTATCTATTATTATCTTGGCTAATGCTTCATTTAATATGATGGATGAAAAATAGGAGAAATATATATTTTCTATCTTTCAAGGAAGGAATAAAAATTATTCTTTTGTATTTGGTAGGATAAATGAAAAATAAAAATATTTTTCTTTTATGCTTGCTAAGATTAAGGGTGACAATCGAGTCATGTCGTGTCAGGTACGTATCAAGTCAGGTTCGTATCGAACATTAATCATACCTAATTCAACTCATTTAATTAATCGTATCGTGTCAAATTGATCTGTTTATTTTCATGTTGTATTCGTGTTCGTATTTGTGTTTATTTTTGAGTTCGTGTCGAGTTATAATCAAATTTATGTCAAGTTCGAGTCGTGTTATCGTGTTGAGTCAAAAATTTTCATCCAACACATGATATTTTATTTATCCCTTTAACTTTTCATTCTTCCATTTTTTTATTGTCCATAAATTAAACTTTAATGAATTGATTGTTCAAATTAAAATTGTTTTAGGGACCAAATTGAAACTTGACCTATATTTGATGGGTGTAAACTGTAAATTTCCCTTCCTTCTCCAAAAACCAAACACCACCAACCATCAACAATAACCCACAGAGATAGCAGAAAGCTCAACAGATCCCAAATCTCCTCCGTTCTCTCTCCTCTCCAGGCATACACACGCACGTTCCGATTAGAGAGAGAGAGAGAGAGAGAGAAACCCACAGAAATGCATTCTCGCTTCACGTTCCTGGCTCGCTCTCTCAAATCCAACCACCGCCTCCACTCTCAATCTCCTCCTCTTTCTCTCTCCACCTTTCTCTCTCATCACCCCTTCTCTTCGTCAACCCCTTCCTCAACTCCCACCAACCCTAAATCCTCATTCCCCGAAACCCTGGAGGATCTCCGACATAGGCTCGCCGCCGAATCGCCTTCTCTCTCCGACTTCGTTCGCCTCCAATCGGAAAACGAGTACTCCGTCGAGGTGGGAACCAAGAAGAAGCCCCTTCCCAAGCCCAAATGGATGAAGGAATCGATCCCCGGAGGCGGCAAGTACACACAAATCAAGAAGAAGTTGAGGGAATTGAATCTCCACACGGTGTGCGAAGAGGCTAAGTGCCCTAATTTGGGGGAGTGTTGGTCTGGTGGTGAGACTGGGACCGCCACGGCGACGATCATGATTCTCGGAGATACCTGTACTAGAGGCTGCAGGTAAACTTTACTTTATTTTATTTATATATTTCAATTCCTTGCGTCTTGTATCTAATTTGGATGCATTCTTGATTTTTTTCCTTCTTGTTCATAATCAATTGTTTATGATCAAGTATCAGTGGCGTTGCTGATTAATTAAGTGACAGGTTCATAGCTATTTTCATTGAATTTTATTTTTATTGTAGTAGATTTGCATTGTCTATCCATAATGAATGTTGCTGATGAAAAAATTGTTTTGAGATTATGAGTTTTGTGAGAAAGAACTGATTTGATGAGTGCAGCTTCTTCAATTCTAAAATGCTTGAGTTGCCAAGCCTGGGAGCCTGGGTGTTGGTCAGAGAGCAGCCTCTTTATGAAAATATTCTGACGTTGATGGGTCTCTCTGTCTTCCCCTCCCACCCACCCAAATTAGTTGGACTACGGTGCGTAATGGCCTGAAGAAGTGGACATTGATTTGCGTTCTTCTTCACAGAGTAGATGTGTTATAATTTATTGCACTTTAAAAGGTGATTTCATTTGCAAAGCTAATTTTCATCACACATGGTTGACTGTAGAGCATTTTCTTTTGTAGACATTATTAAATATATCTCAAACTTGGTTCATCCGAGAGTTATTAAGCAGGAAACAATTCACTGACAAGTAACGGGGTTTTTGGGGACTTGCAGCTCCTGACAAGTAAATAGGGGTTCGTCTTTTTCCTGGGGTCCATTAAGCACTTTAGATTTTGGTTCCTTCTTCTTTTCTGGTATGAATAGTTTATTTAAGGCAAAAGCTGCACCAGGGCTCAGACTTCATTGAAGTGACGTCCATGTTGTAGATTATAGTTGTCAAATAACGTATCGGAAGATATATCGTTTTTTAAAAATAGTGTTCCGTACTGTATCTGTATCGTAGGATACGTGCAATTTTAATTTTAAAATAATTATATATATATATACACACACACACCTTTATAGAAAAGTCGTAGTCTCATAATAATATAACATTTCATTGATATTTCACAAACTATTCAAGTTCTTAACATAGTTAAGTAATATCAAAATACAAAAATCTCTAATTCAAATTTCTAACATTAATTGCTTGAACAACCTTAATATTAATTAGAAATTTTAAATTTAATTGAATAGTATTAATAACAGACTTTATTTTATTTTTGTAAACCATAACTATTGAAACGATGTTTTTTCACTAGCTAGTGATTTAAAAATAAATTTTAGGGTAAAACGATGCCATTTTAGTCCCAAAAAAAAAAAATAGAATCGTCACGTATCGGATGTATCGTATATATCATATCGTGTATTGTATGATACTGTGTAAAAATGATACAGAAACACGATACGTATCGTTTTCAAGTGTATCGTGACACATCGTACGATACATATCGCGTATCGTACGATACATATAACTATGTTGTAGATAACAACAAATATTTTACCTCGAGCAAATATTTCAATTCAACATAGGCAAACACTAATGAATTCACAATTAGATAAATTAAGTAGTAACAATGTTAAGCAAAGCAAGCAAACCATTAATGGATAAAAGAAAAAGAAGTTGGATGTCATCAGTAAATTTATTGCTTAGTTAATCAATCTAATCAATTAAAGCAGTAAATCAATTAATTCATTAAATTTTAAACAATCAAACAATCTGTGGAAGTTAAACAATTAAACATCCCCTAAAAAGGCCCAAAACCAAACAATGATTGAAAAAGAGATGATGAAATGTCTCTTTCTGACATAGAAATCAAAATAAACAGTATAAGGAGAAGGAGCTGGTGGTTAGGTGACTAGTTTGAATATACAAAAAGTAATGGGAAAAAAAATCAAAGAGACATGCAGAAGGAGAAAAAGAAGATGAAGAAGAAGGCTATAAGTTGATGAAATAGAAGGAGACAATGTGAGAAGAAGAAGTGGCAAAAGAATACGTAAAGGGAGAAGACTAATTGGATTATGGGCAGTCCTTTAGTGGTTTTATCTTCAATCAGTTTGGTGGTTTCTCTTCTCTCCCCCACAGTCTTCAATTGTTCCCCATCACTCCTTGAGCGGTCTAGGTTATTCTTGGACAATTTTTTCAGTTGGGCGTGCACATCAATAGATCTAGTATAAGTTGATGAATCTACGCCTCTGGATCAAGTCTTTACAGTAGATTCAAAAAAACAAAAAAAATCCTGGAAATTGTTGAAGTCCCCTTTCTTCAGTCTTGAGATGTGGTAGCCTCGGCTTGCCTTTCCTAGGCACGGGCTTAAGAACATGGGGTATTAGTGATCACCATCCAATAACCATAGTAAATTAGTAATTGCAGTTAATGGTGAGTGGCACCCACCAGATAGTTGTATAAAATTGGTTGCTTATATTATCTTTTGTATCAATAATAAGATATTACATTCGGGTATTGAAATTTTGCAAAGATGAAAATTTTGAATGCTGAAACTGTTGTTATACCTTTTATTTTCTTTTCTTGTTGTCTTCTTTTCATTCAATTAGTTTCTCGCAATAAATTCTCTCTAGAATAGTATTTTACGATAGAGAATATTTTTATTTTCGTTTGAGATCGCGGTATTTGTTTCACTTATGCTTGGGTCTTACTACCAAGTGTTCTATTGGCTTGGGTGGCATTCACATTTGGCTTATGCCAGCTTTGATCGAGATCTTTAGATATGATCATGTACTACAGTTAGCAGAGGAATTTTGCCCCATGTGGGCTAGTTGAGCTTGGTGCACTAAGCAAAAATAACCTAAAAAATGAATGACGACAAAAAGCAAATTTGCAAATCTCTTGTTTAGCTATCAAAGTAGTTTTATCGAGGTTACTGCAATGGAATGAGCTTTTGTAGCAAGTATTGTACAAGGGGTGGAAAAGACTTTGATTATCTTCGGTTCTTTTACAAATTTTTCATTGCTTAAACCCCTTCTCGTAATTGTTCGACAATAGCACATGCACAAGAAAAAAATAACTCGCTATGAACGATAAGGGTTCGACTGTGGCATAGAGATCGGAGAAAACATTGGATTTGCAAACAATTAACTGAAGATCACATACACTATAGCGGTTTCAGGCATTGTTCAAATTTACAGTATTAGTCATCAACTCAAAGGGTATTGAGATGCATCAATCGGGGCATTGTAGAGTTGTGTTAGGTGAGCCACATGAAATTCTAGATAGACTAAGAAGTTAGACATGACGAAGATTTAGGCCCTATAGCAACATCTTGAATAGTATTGGACAATACATTGCGATTCATTGAAGATTACTTGGATGAATCAGATGAGTTGACCGAGATGTCTTCAAGTAAACCACTTGTAGAATGAGAATCGTGGTTGATGTAGTCTGTGTATCATTAAGAATAGAAAGTGTCTAGGTGGATACAACTCGGTCGAGTTGTATTGGTATCGACCGAATCTTTGAACTATGAAACTTGTGGTGAGCGGCGGATTATTTGCAAAATCCATACCTATCTACTTAATTTTACTTCTTATATGCAGATTATAGATCGATTAATGGCATAAATGAGGTTTTTCCATGAGTGGTGTAGTTTTTCTAGAGAATCGACAAAGGCAATGATAAAAGTAGAATGTACACAATACCATTGAAAAGTAAAATCTCATAGTGTTGTAAAATTGATCCAATTTGAACCAAAAACTGAAATATTTACTCCCTAAAGCATACAATATGTATTTACATGTGCACATATATCTCAAAGAATTGAAAACTTAAATAAATCAAGCATGTGGTCCAATTAAATAGATATTCACCATTTTAACTGATTTTGAACATTCTAATCTACGATGTGAAATTTTGCCCTTGTGTTTTTAACATGGAAATTTCATCTCCGCATCGGGCATGACATTGCTGCTTCTTTTTTGGCCTGCTCTTCTTCTTGGTGTCACTGCTTCTCTCTTCCACACATGCACACATATAACATGTTCTGAGCTTGATTTAAGTTGATAATTTTGAATCTGTGCTGTTAAAAATGAAGGCTAAATGTATCAAGGTAGGGGTGTGATCACATGATGTCATGTGTACCCTTGATCTTGAACTGTCAAAGCGGCTGTAGCTAAATGGATGGAGAAGTTAACTGGCTGGTTGTCATTTTTGGGATTCCTTCTAAGAATCTCTGGGTGGCACATCTACTTACCAAACTTCTCACATTTTTTCCATGTCCATTTTCTTTAGCTGCACCTATCTATATATGCATGTACTTGTGCATATTGGGCTACATATATATGTGCATTTAAGAATGAGAAGGGAAGAAGAGGGAAATGGTCCAAGACTAGCCTTTTTAAGAGACCCTTCTCTTATATCAACTGCTTTGTATAAAAAGGGTCACCTTCCAGGCATGCTGCTTTGAATCCCTAGCAGTTTGCGTCTATCGGTGACTACAATCCCATTAAGGATTACTTACCAAAATTTATATTTATCCTCAGACATTGCTTTACAATGGGAATTTAAGAAGAGGGAGATGACATAGTATTTGGCCCAAGAGATCCTTATCTTGCATCAACTGCTTCATTGGTCACCTTGCGCGCATGCTGCTTTGGATCCCCAGTGGTTTGTAACTTGGTGTCTACCCATGCACATGCTCACATTACGGACAATTACTTAACACAAAAATTAATCTATTGTCATCCTTCCAAGTTTAAATTGATGCATCACTAGTCACTTGGATATGTATGTTTTCTTTTTATGCAGTGGAAATGGGTTTTGTTAGTATTGATGCATCAACAGTCCACATAGAGCCTACAATTTAGGTGGACTGAGAACCGGTTTTGTTTAATGCTATTGGTCTACCTTTTGATTTTTTTGTTTTTAATGATCTTGATTTTAGTGCATTGTTGGACTCACTTGTCTCTGTCTTGTGGGTTTAACAGCTTGGCCTGAGGTATGGGGAGGTGAAACCCTGTCATTGACATTGTAGAAAAATCAACAGGTGCTGATGCATTGACATCCCACATAGGGCCCGCTATTTAGGTGGGCTGAAAATAGGTTTTGTCTGATGCTTTAGGTAAATTAGAACCCTTTTTTTTTCTGCGTCATGTAGGTTTAATAGCTGGGCCTGAGGTATGGGGGGAAGAAATCCTTTCATTGATGTTGTAGAAAATGTCACGTTATTTTAGGAGGGTGTGCTAAGCGACATTTGATTTGCTCCCACCTTAACATAAGATTTTCATATTTTTAAATTTTGAGCTTTCACGAACAATGTGTAATGAAATTTGTTATTAAGTGCTCCCATGATATAGGGGTGCTGCAGTAATCATTTATTTGTTACTTGATTGGATGCCAGAATATTAGTTTTCCTCATGTCTACGTTGGATCTGTTCAAATCATGATACATGTGGTATATATTTTGGATGGATATCAGCTGAGTGTAATCCAATGATTTCAAATTTCAGATTCTGTAATGTGAAGACCTCACGCACGCCACCTCCTCCTGACCCGAATGAACCGTCAAACGTGGCTGAGGCAATTGCATCATGGGGTTTAGATTATGTGGTGATTACTAGTGTTGACCGTGATGATTTACCTGATCAAGGAAGTGGTCATTTTGCTGAGACAGTGCAGAAGTTGAAGACACTGAAGCCAGATATGCTCATAGAAGCCCTGGGTATAAATCGCCGCAGTCTTGTTGTATTTGAATAATCTATGTACATTTGGATTTGGAATTAAAGACCTCAGTCCCCATAAATAGACATAAAAACAGGTCATCATTGTTGTGTGTTCCATCCCAAATAAGGTATAGACAACACTGAAAATGCTCCTAAGTTATGTCCTTCCACCTTTGATGCATCTACTTGGCCCTATTCAAGAAGTCAAAAGTTTATTGAACTGTTAGTACTCTTCAGGTGCAGAGGTTATTATCAGTTTGGGGTGTCTGAGAGTGGGTTGAAGCCTTGCCAATGGGACAAACTAGGCTGTGTTTGATCATCCACGGTGGGTTGTCTTAGTGCTTTACCTGACTGAGATGTGAAGGTTGGTTTTAGTTTTTGGAAGGGTAGCCCATTACACCATAGAGTAAGTTCAGAGCCTGAAGGAAAGCTCAACGGCAAACATCTGAGCTGTATTTTGCAGTAGTGTGAGACAACATTTAGAATAGAGAATGCATTCCAAAGCTGAAATCTGTGGGGAGTAGGTTGTGCTAGGACCTGTGAAATGGGATTAAACTGTTTTAATGTATTATAGAATTCTAGACTTCTGCAGGTATCTTGCTTCCTTTTTGCTAATGTTGCTTGCATTGTATTGACTTTTGCAGTTCCTGATTTTCGTGGAGACCCTGGCTGTGTAGAAAAAGTTGCAAAATCTGGATTAGATGTTCTTGCTCATAACATTGAAACGGTTGAGGAGCTTCAAAGTGTAGTACGAGATCACCGTGCTAATTTTAAGCAATCCATGGATGTTTTAGTGATGGCCAAGGACTATGCTCCTGCTGGTACACTTACCAAGACGTCAATAATGTTAGGTTGCGGTGAAACACCTGACCAAATAGTGAGAACAATGGAGAAGGTTAGAGCAGCAGGTGTTGATGTGATGACATTTGGTCAGTACATGAGGCCGTCAAAGCGCCACATGCCAGTATCTGAATACATAACCCCAGAGGCTTTTGAAAACTATCAAATCCTTGGCACAGAAATGGTTTGCTCCAATCCTTTAGTTTAAAACAATTATGGATGTAGTACTTGGTTGTTTTTTTTTTTTTTAAATCTGGATTAAATGATCTATGCTTGCCATTTTACTGACTTCTCTTCTGGCTTGAAGCATTCAATTTTGTTTATGAATTGTTAGGATTAGTATTTGATGTCTTGCTGAATATTTGACCATAATTACTGGTAGAGTGTTGATTGCCTTGACAAACACTTTTTTCTTTTGGTTTGGGGTGGGGGCTGGGGCAGAAGAACCATTTCTTGTATTTTTCTTATTTGCACTTTCACCTTATTTTCCAAGTATGAGAAAGGAAGATGAAGTAATGATTTTTTTTTTTTCCATTTCTCGCTATTGCATCCTCAATTCACTTGTACATATTCGCCAATCGTTGTTGAACTTTTAAGTAACTCAACTCAACAAATCCTTTATTTCAACTATTTGGGGTCGATTACATGAATCCATAACTCGCACAAATTTTTATTTTTATTTTTATAATCGAATCCTAAGTAATTCCTTTTAAGTAGGAGAGATAATACACAATTCCATTTTTTTTTTCCTTCTGTTTTCTGTGCTTTGGTTTGAAATTTGAAGCTGGCTAGTTGATGTTTTACAATTAGCTTTGTTTCACACCAATTTGGCTACTAATTGATTTTATTGTCATTTGGCGTTGAAGTATTTCACTTCATATATATTTTTTCGTTTCTTGACCAAAATGGGCATTTTAAATGCCCTTAAAGTTAACACCATGTGAGTAAATATTCATGCATATTCAGGGCACATTATCATCAGTCATTTTGTTTTGAAGCGTGAAAGTGGTGACCAAGATGGCCACATAAATCAGAAGACCGTATTAAAATCTATATTGTATATTTTATCATTTAGCTTGGCTGCGTTTGTGGGCCATATCGTAGAAGTGTTGTTTCCAGTTGGTCTAAACTTTCGGTTGATTTATTGCTCTCTCTCTCATTTTTTAATTTTGAAGGTTTTATATAGAGATTGGATGTTTTCTTTGTTTTTGCTATGGCTGCCCACTGTATATTTTCAATGTTTATTGTGCCTGTCTGTCATCCCTTGTATAGTACAATAATTTGCTCCTTATAAGAGTTTTTTGTTCATTTAATGTTCCATTTATTTATGAGAGAAACAATATGCAAGCGGATCAGGGCCTAACTCATTGCACTGCTTATTAAGAAAATGGACTCTCACTTACAAGGTTCCTTACCATAACTGTGACACCTATGCAAGCTACAGCCTACAGGAACCAAAATAACTCAAAGACTGGAATTTTGTCGGTTAAGTTCACCCTCAAATGGGTCTTTGTGGAATAAACTCATCATGTATAGTTCTAAACGATATTAAGCAATTATAGATGCAATGATTGGATGTGGAGATGAATGAAGAGACTTCTTGGTGTGAGCCTCGTATATTGCGAATGCAAACAAATTTGATGTCCTCTTTTTTTGCCTGGTCACAACATTCTATTCTTGATGCTCTCAATTGCTTTTACATCAACAGTCTAGGCGCTGTTGTAGACTTTTATATCATCTCATGATGCACAAGTGATGCCAATAAAATGTCAATATGGCACATCCATCTGTGATGTTTTTTTAATTCAAGCATGGAACACATCTAATCAGATGCAGTGTGTTATTGACATTTTATTCATGAGTCATGCCTGAACAGAGACTAAAATTACAGTAGAACAATCATCATTAGATTGTCTTCGTACTGGCTGGTATTGTTATCGGAACATATCCATTTTTTTCAACATGAATAATTTGGAAGCATGCATAATTTTTGATGGACAAATCATTTCATTTTCCTTGGTTGCAACAGGGGCTGTCTAGTGTGGCATGACTAATGTTATTGCTTGCTTGGATTATGGCAGGGATTTCGGTATGTGGCATCTGGCCCCATGGTCCGGTCCTCATACAAGGCGGGTGAATTTTACATTAAATCCATGATAGAATCAGATCGTGCTGCAACTTCATGATGACGGGATTTATGTTGTGCCAAAACCCAATGCTTCCTTGAATTTTGGACAATGATTTCAATGAGCTTGAGTCCAGGGATGTTTGTTCCATAGGAGACGAGAAAAAGTTTATATACACGTTTGACAGGTAATTAACTCCTGAATTGTTTTTCGATTTGCGTGGGCTTGAGCTTGTCTAATCAAACTTGTTATTGTTTAATAATAATTATCCGTGTCAGCTGTACATGCAATTCAGTCTAATAATCGAATTCTCTTTGCTTCCTTTTTCCCACTGTTTCGTTCTAGTTCTCACGGTTCATCTGGTTAATAATATATCTGTACATCTTTAGATATTTCGGAGGCATAGTGCATTGTTGAAAACGTCATTTTCTGATTGATCATTGTTGAATAAGCAACTATTTGCAGTGTGAAAGAAGCAGAGAGTGCTGTTATCTCCTTGATGGATGCTATTTGCGACCTATTTCTGTTTCCATTGCTTTGGATCTTCTTAATGTGGATGAACTGTGATATCTTAAACCGACCCATCTCTTATACCTACCGATTGTCTATTGCTGTTTATGCTTGGTTTGTGTGTTCAGTTGTTTGGAGGGAGGAGAGGGTTTTTTTTTTTTTTTTTGGGGGGGGGGGGGGGGGGGGGTCATAGTCAACAACCCATGTAAATCATGATGACTGAGGATGCCACACAAGGGGAGAATGGCAGAGAAGTGGTTTGGGGTTTTACAATCTTGATTTTATTTTCCGTTATGATTTTGCCCCCTTCGATTTGCCTTAAAATTTCAATTTTCCAAGTTTGTTTGTTTTGGTGTATGTTTACATAATGCTATAGATATCACCAAGCGAAAGGTAAGGGTAACGTGAAAAACTCAATAGTTTAATACAACTCGGAAGCTGCTCGAAACTTTACTATAATGGAAATGTAACATTTTATGTCGCTGCTAAAACTTCAAAATTGTGGCCTGCATGCCGCAATGACAAAATCAAAATACAGTAAACATGTCCATGCCTTTATTTTTTTCCCCCTGGTCTCCTAAGGAATCAGGCTTAGCTTTAATTGAAAGTGGACTCTAACCAGTCTGATGTTAATTCATAAGTAACAAAGGTTACAGCACCAGCAGGTGCAGCTTTGACAACAGATGGAACAATGCCCTTATAGAGGCCAGCCCAACCCTCTGCCTGTGGAATTCGACGAAGAGCATCAAACATATTTTTGTAAGTGCGATGCTCAATTCGCGCTCCATACCTCGGATGCCTTTGTAGTCCTTCGATCTGCAATATAAATTTTCAAACATATATAAAAGCTGGAAGGATGAACAATATTCATAGACATTAGAATTGTTTTCTTTCACCCATTTCTTCAGTCACTTGTGTATTTACGGTGTCCAGGAAGAGTGAAAGAGACTGGTTTTTGCCTTGTTTACAGTGCAGACTGGAGCGAGTCCAGCATAAGCAACTTGGCCAAATATTTGCTTGCCCTCAGCCATACTAGTGAAACAAATTAATCAAGTGGTGGTCTTAATTGTGTTCCCAACTATAGTTTAAGCTTGGGAAAATTTCCATCCACACCCCTCTAGTCATGTCTAAATTTAATAACATCTCTTTCTGATTTTAAAACTTCACTGTACCCTTTTTTAGTTTATACTTTCAAATAAAAGACACCCCCATTAACCCCCATTAACGGTAATTTTTAACTCTACCAGTACAAAAAATATCAAAACTATCATTCCTTATATAAATATACTAAAATGCTCTCAACCTTTTTCTCACTATTTATACCAAACCCTTTGTTGTTGCTTAAGGTCAAAAACAATTTGGTGTTGCTAGAGGACATAGGGAACCGAAGACGACCATTTTTCTTCAACTCGTTCTCCACAGTGATCGATCACTATCTAAGTTGGTAAAAATATATATATATATATATATATATATATACATTTTTCCTTATAGATTTGTAAATGTTTTTCATATAGATTTTTAAAAAAAATTTCGTACAATTTTTTAAAAATTTTTTTCATGTAGATATTTTTAATTTTTTTCATGTAGATTTTTAATTTTTTTTCATGCATTTTTTTTTTAATTTTGTTCATGCACATTTTTTTTAAATTTTTTTTCTTCCATTTTATCATGTCAATATGTTGTGATGTATTATTGTAGTATTAATGTTTTCTTCGACGGTTGGTAGAGACAGAGACATAGAAGAGCGCATTGAAATTTAAATATTAAATTGATGATATTAATTTAATAAATTTAAATATTAAATTGATGAACTTAAGGTTAATATAATATAACTAAAACAGAGTGCATTGAAATTTCAGAATTAGGAGGAGATATTGTTAAAGATAAATGTACTTATAAGGGGTGTCGTTAAAGTTATGTATATTTTACAAAGGGTGTGGATAAAATTTACCTAATAAAATATTTTGGGATATTTCTTTAAATTATCAATTGCCGTTAATGCCGTAATTCGACAAACACTGATAGGGGGTGACATTGAAGTTTCAGAATTGGGAGAAAGTGTTATTGAATTCAAACCTAATTATAGGGGGTATAAATGAAATTTTCCCTTTCCGCTTTGGCCTTGATGCGTGTTTAGTCAAAGGAAAAAAAGCATTTTGTACCAACTGCTGAAAACTTGATGCTTGGTGATAACTAATTCACCATTTCGATGTTTGAATCTCCTCCCTAACCCAACAAAATAGACAATAAGAAAAATCTTCATATACTTGTCGATATATAAAGTGCAAGTACAGATATCACTTAGTTTAAGAAGGCTGGGCTCAGGGAACCAACCTGGAACCTCTTCTTGACCACATCAAGGGGGTGACATACAGCTTTGGCACATGTGCCAGATGCTAAGCCGCAGAGAAAGAGCTGGAAGCTCGGAAGGACATCAGCCGAGGGGTTTTCATCAGAAGATCTGAACCGGTTCCAGTCCTTTAAAAGACACAGCAAACCCATCAGCCTGAAACAAAACTCTAAATAATAAACTTTGCAAAAGAAAAAAAAACAGGGAAGAAAAAGCAGTTTGCACATTTGGTTGATATACCATGCATACATAGACAAGGTGTCCATGATTCCTATTTTTCCTGAGTCTTTGCGAGTCAGGACTAATCCCAAGGATCGCTTGAAGATCCCTACTAGAAGCAGTCGAATGCATCAGTACAGACTTCAGGGATCCATATTTCCAAACAGCAGAAGCATCAAGCAGCTATATTGGACATATTCGTACATGGGACGATCCCTAACGTGTACAAATGATGCATAAATACAAAATTAGAAGCCTTGGTTGCAGGTAACTGGCACCAACAACAATAAAGTTCCATTGCAGCATGACATCAAGAAGGGTCCATAAATTCGGTTTAGAGTAGGTAAATCCTTTGGATAAGCATTTGGGGTAATTGTGGAAGTGAAAAATGGTTTGGGGGGATGAAACCTTTATGATTGTACGAGTCACTTAGCAAGTACTGTATAATCCTAGGGAAATTTTTAAACCTTGAAGGGCGATCAGTCTCTGGTGACCTCTCTTTAGATCAATCTTAATTTCATCCAAGCAACCTGATCTATCAGATAGAGAGTTCACGAAGACTACACAGCCATCTCAGTTTATCAGTGTGGTACCCACCCAAAAATTCTATTTTCTTACTCGGAAACAAAACCCATCTTGTCAAAAGTGAAGAAAGTATACATGGTAGAAGTCCTAAAAATTCACACATATAGATTGTAGAGTAGACTTAAAATCTATAGACTGAAACCTACCATGGTCCAGCGCTTGAATGTATCATAGGTTCCAAACTGCATCCCAGCATAAGGAACAATCTCAACCAAAGTAGTTGACAATCCAGCATACAACCCTTGAAAGCCACGAGTTCTGATTACATCGACTAATGCAGACCTCATGTTCAAATACACCTGAATATAGGTACACCATCTTCGCTAATTATAAAATCATCATTTATAAGCATGAGGATTGGCTTTTGGTCGTAATATTACTACTGCAGTTCAGATTTTAATGGCAAAGAATTGAGAGTCCAAAATAATAAGGGTTCAAAATACGTACGAGCAGAAGTGCTCAAGTATCTAAAGTGATTGGGGTCTTCAATTTAGAGCTACTTATCTATTTGTGTCAGCTTTTTCTCGGAAACAAAAATACAATGATAAACTGATAGTTGATTGCATGTCTTAAACCCAATACCTTTGGCTCACCCTGGGAAGCCAAAATGGTTCTTAGAAGATCAAATGGATATGATCCAACAGTAGCTGCAGCTCCGGCTAATCCTCCGCTGATATAAGACAGGTAAGGACTTATACGAATGTGATGTTCTGCATCACAGGAAAACAATCAGCAGGCCATAACATGTGAGAAACCAAATTATCCTCAATGCAGTTGCATTTTCCTTGCATTGAGTAATATATAAAGTATTATGCTGTGTGCTAAAAGTTCAGTACGAATCTCATATAGAGAGCAGTACAAAACTTCTGGATGTTCATATGAAAATAAGCAGATGAGATTGCAATTTAAAAAGCTGGAGAGAGATGGCCCAAAGGCCCCAATGTGGCTCAACCACTATAGATCAGTGATATGGCCAAAAATGCTCCGCTCCCACTAAAATTCATTTAGGGAAAAGTTAATACAGAATTTCTTCGATGCATTAAACATTAGTCTTAACCATCAAATATGGCACCCTCAACCTTCAATGCACAAAGGCAATACCCATGAACACCAAACATCTTTCTCAAGCATTGCATTAACAACCGTGAGGTTGTGGTCTGAATTTGAGAACAGTTTAGCAAATAATGTCAAAACCCATTCCATTCCTCTCCACATTCTCGATTAACTGACCCCAAATTGGGTAATCATCCTCTGCATTTTGCAGATCTGAAGTGGGATATAGAACAAACCTTTCTTGGAAGAACCAGATGCAAATGTCTTCAATTTATGCAACACTGTGAATTGTATGGAAGTATATGGCATAACCATAAGAAGAGCTGGGACATTACCACGCCAGAAACCCTGGCAGAGCAATAAAGTAAAAAATTGCCGAGACATTATGTCATCTGTTTAGTTAATTAGTAACTAAAATAGTAACCAGCATAACACTTACTGAACAGAAAACATTCTTGTTGCACTACATATAAATTGATCATTACCCGGAAACCTTCCTCTCTAAAGATGTCTTTGGTTGCTTGCAACATCCCAGTATATTTCGATCTTACATATACATCTTTGTGTAGCAAGGCCCATGATGAAGTGGGTTCCAGCTGAACCTGTCATTAGGCACCAGTATCAGATTTTTTGGGTCTACCATGTAGCATGCAAGAACATGATGTGTGCTCACTCATTAACCACAGCCTCCAAAAATCGACCCACACACACACACACAGATGATAATCAAATAGAGTAATGAGGTTGGTAACAGTAGAATCCCATGTTTGGTCATTCCAAAAAAAGCCAAATATTCAATATTTGATAGTAATACTAATACACTTAGATCTTTTGGACTCATTTTTTTTTTGGTTGGCTAACAAAGGATAGTCCCGGCCATTCGCCCTTGGATTCGTGATTATGATACATATGTTGGATGTATGCAACACTTCTAAGCCACACAAATTGGACTAGTCAGTACACTCAACTTGAGATAGTAATCCCTGGGAATTAGCAATTTGAGCAAACCTTTAGGTAAACTTTTGAGGGTGAAATTTTAAATCAATTCAATGTTTCTATTCTGGGATCTTGGTGTTAAGAAGGAATGTAAATGGGTGTGCTGAGATACGCATGTGTGCTGTGAAAGTATGAAGATATCAGACAACCACCATTTTGGCATTTCCTTAAATAACATTCACAATCCAAAGGCCTTTACCATAGTAAAAGTGCTTACATAAATAATGAAGCCGAAGTATTTAATCCAAAATTCTAAAATTCGCGAGAAGGCCATAAAATATCCTAGAAATTACCCTAAACCACAAGATAGAAGACTGAGAAACCATGACAATTTTATTGGCATTACTTACAATTCCTGTGGGTACAATATATTTACAACATGTAGGCATTGCAAAACTTAATTTCAATTTTTTTTTTTTACTTTCAAATAAGAGACACTTGATGTGTGCTCAAAACACGACTGAGCAGATGAAATAGAATAGAACATAGCTTCGGTGTTGGGTTAATGTTTCATCAATGCACGACCAAATCTAAGAGCTTCAAAATATAAACAAGATAAATGAAGTTTGTTGGACTACTAATTGCTTCAAACGCTTAAAACTATTAGAGAATGAAGCTAATAATGAATGTTAAACTATTAAGTATTAACACCGACTCATATGGAACCCCTGCATACACATGGAGAATAAATATGACAATGCACCTCAATATGCACGCATAATGCTGAACCTAGGTGCAGCACCATGCACAATGACTATGGGAGAACATATGCAAATAGTGGGACTTGAATCCAATGCCTAATCCCTAAACCAACCAAACCTCTGATCCTATGTAAGACTATCACTTACTCAAAAAGCTTAAGATGCTAGAAAACGGGATTGACAATGTATATCAAGATCTCAACCAAATGTGAAGCCACATTAGGACTAAGGGGACCATGACGCTTTTAAGTTCTAGAAATTGCATTTTGACCTTTTAACCTTTGTCGAATTTTGAAGAATTATGAAGCTGCCCCAGATTGAAATATTGATTTTTCTCATTGTAGGCTATCTTAACACTTTATGGATTGGTGGGGCCAAAGTTTTGTGTTTCTGGTTTTGCCCTACAATCTCAACAAGGGGCATATATGTTTGATTTGGGCAAGAACTGAAAAGTGAGAGTAGTGACTACATTTGAGTAACAAAAGGAAGCAAAAATTGACCTGGAATCTGATCTTAATGACATCTAATGGAGACGTTACTGTACGAGACACACCGCCGGAGATCGCCCCTGCCGTAGCATCTATCAATGCTCGTTTCAGCTTCCCGGGCTCTTCCATCATCCCCAAACCAGCTTAGATTATCTATGTGATACAAAACCACATACCCAAATCAAGATCAACTCCTCCATAAAAAAAATCTAACATCACTTCACATTCCAAAACAATCAATCTCAGCAAATCAATATCTAAAAAACAACTAGTACACACGCCAAGCAGGTATGAATATGCTAATATAGATAGATAGATAGATACATACATACATACATACATACAATATATATGGATGTGTAGGAAAGTAGATACGGATTTTGGGTCAAATGCGTACAGTTCGTTTGGATGGATTGATTGGGGGAGGAGAAGAAAAAAAAAAAGAAGGGGAGGTGGGAAAAATATAATTTTTTATTCTTCCTGATTAGATGTTTATAATAAGAGAGAAGAGAATCACCTGTAATGCAAAAGTTGGGCATTGTCGTTGGAAGGAGTCGGACGAAAGTAGCTCAAAGCAGGAGAATAAAGAGAAAGATGGAAGGAAAGTGGAAGAATTGCATAAAATCCACTAAAAATTCTGATCTGATTCCCTACCTAACTAACTGTTCTCTACTTCCTTTTCGTTTGTGGCTCAACTATGAATGTTCGTTCTTTGTAACGTTTGACCAACACACCATAAGAGAACCAAGTTCCACGTACTCTGAGTGGGCAAGTGGATGGTCTTCTTTTTTTTCTCTCTCTCTCTCTCCCTTATTTTTTTTTTTCGATCACAAGATTGGAACTTACAATTAGTTCTATATTATTTAATGTAGATTAATTATAAAATATTCCCTTCAGGATTAAGTTTAGATCAAGTTGCAATCCACTTCCTGTTTGATTTTTAAGAAGGGTTAATTATATTGTACGTCCTTTTAAAGTATAAAATTTATTTTATTTTAATTTTTAATATTTTAATTGTATCATTTTGATTACTAAATAATTATTTACAGACAGTCAATCAAAATTGAAGAGCTACACAAACACATAAATCAATGTTGAAGATTTCCAATAAATTTGTGTAGCTCTTCAATTTTGATTGGTTGTGTGTAAAGAATCTATTTTTTTTATGTTTATATGTAATCCCTCAAACAGACAACATCTAAATTGCTAACGATTTTGATTATAAACTTGTCACGTGATACTTAAATATGAATAAAAAATAATTTAAGTAATTCTTGACTAAAATTTGGGTAGCTCTTGACAAAAAATGTATAATATGGATAGTTCTTGACCAAAATTTGGATAATTTATAATCAAAATTGTGTAATTTGGATAATTCTTTGATCAAAATTTGAGTACAAATTTGGTTAAGAGTTATTTAAATTTTTATTATTTTTATTTATATTTAGGTATTACGTGACAATTTTATGATAAAAAATCGTTAGCAATCTGAATGTTGTATGTTTAAGGGATTCAATAGAAATATATTCAATACTTTATGGACTAAGATGATGCAATTGAAATATTAAAAACCAAAATGATACAACTCTCATACTTTAGGGACCTTTAGTGCAATTAACAAATTATTCTTAAAAGGTTGTACATTTTTCAATTAACTCAAATTATTTGTTTCGACAATGAAAAATAATAAAAATTAAGTCATATGATCTCATATTTATTGAAAAGATAAAATTACACTAAATTCAATTTTTTAGGTAAAAAACTATCCATTCTTATTCTCAAGATAAAATGATGATCTTGTCTCTTCATAGAATTTGAGATCACGTGATTTGCAAATAAATGTTTTTTTGTCATTTTTCACTGTCAAAATTACCGGCTTGACTTAATTTGTAAATATTTAAACTTTGAGGGAATAAATTGTTACAAACTAAAACTAGAGGGAGTTGTTTGAATGTGACCAAAACTTGAACAAGACATTTTATAATTAACCCTATTTAGTTGTGTAAATAATCCTCAGGCTTTAATATTTTATCTAATATATTAAATTTTAATTTAATAAAATTGAATATCAATTTATTGTTGATTTGATGAAATTAAATATTAATTTAATGTTAGATTAAAGAAATAGTATTAATTTGACGAAATAAAAAATTAAATTGATATAACTAAATACTAATTTGATAAAATTAATTATCAATTTTATGTTAATTTGATGAGATAAAATGTTAATTTAGTTTAAATTAAATAAAAGACATTAACTTGATAAAATTAAATATTAAATTGATGTACCTAAACACTAATATAATAGAACTAAAAGATAGTGCATTAAAATTTCAAAATCGAAAGGATGTGTTGTTTAAGTCAAGTCTATTTACAGGGATATTATTAAAGTTAAGTTTATTTACAAGGGGTGTGGATAAAATTTATCTAATAAAATAATCAAGGGTATTTTTGTAAATCAATTATTGTCGTTAACGTCGTAATCTGACAAACATCGACAAGGAGTGAAAATGAAATTTTAGAATCGAGAAAGAGTATCATTAAAGTTTAGATTTAATTACAAGGGGTAGACGATAAAATGACCTGAGTGCTTATATATTCAATTCTTATCTGATAATGGTCGGAACTAAAACGGAGAATCAATGAATAAAGGCATGAAAGTGAAGAAGAAAGAGCATATATTTCTACTTTTTTTTCAATGAAATGGCGTGTGATATAAGGAACACATCTTTTTATCATCAAAGTGACCTAAAACTATACTAAAGACTTTCAATATGTATTTTTAGAGATACTGTCCAGGAATAAACACAGAAATTTTTATTTTATTTTGTGGTAAATAAAAATAAAAATTTCGTTCGAAACAAGAAACACAACAAAAATCAATGTCCACCTTTTTTTTATTTTTTATTTTTATTTTTCTTTGTTTATTTTTTATTTTTTTATTTATTTGGGCATTGCTTTCAACTATCATGTTTTTTTTTATATTTGTATTTTATGTCCAATTATGGATATTGATTTTGTAATACTCATCTACATGGGCGGCATGGGGGACGGTGGGCAAGTGCCCCCTTCAAATTTTTTTTTTTTTTATTAGTTAGTTATATATATTATATATTTGTATAATATATTATTTGTGCCCACCCAAAACTCAAGATAAAAATATTAGACCCATATTATTTACCCAAAAGAATTAAAAAATTAAACCCATTTAAAATAAAAAATCTTGAGTCCACAATTATCTACCAAAACTTATTAAAAAATCAAAATTTTGATCTATTACAATCCACCGAAACCTATTAAAAAAATAAAAATTTTGGCCAACATTAAAAACAAAACTTTTTGCCCACCCATCATTGAAAAACAAAGCTTTTGGTCCACTTGACTAAAACCTATCTGATCTAATATCTAGTATATTTGCTCCCCCTAATTTTTTGAAAATGGTTCTAGTCTTTTTTTTTTCAATAAATTAGTGGACTACTAACCTTCTAAAATAAATGTTAGTTTTAGATTGAGTAAATGATCTATTTGTATATTGACGAATATACAATGTTTTTATTTATCTATCACAATGTTTGTTAATTTTTAAGAACAGATTTTAGTTTTCATTTACTATTTTTTAAATAATAGTAGTTTATAACCTAATAAAATATGGTTATATATAAAAGACAAAAGGTTGTAACCTAAAAATATTTCAAACTATTTCAAATAGGGAATTTCTCTATAAAATGATAATAATTTCAACCAAATTTTGCAACTAAATAAAGAATAATTTTACTATAGATTTGTGATTGTGCTCATTGATAGAAAATTTGTGAAAAATTAATTTATATTTAATTTATATAAAAAATACGTAATTCGATAAAAAATTGTTAACATACGTACACTATCATGTAGGAATAATATTTGAAATAAAAATTATATTAAATTATAAATAAATCAATATATTAAAATAATTGAGTATGTGATAGAAATGAGTGACATAATATTTTTGGGGAGAAAAATATATAGAGGATAAAATTCAATTTGTGAGTTATCTTATTATATAGATATAATTAGGTTAAAATGTACTTAAAAAATTATTTTGTGTTTGTTTGTTAGGATTTTGTTTTGGCTAAATAAAAATTGAATTTACTATTTCACAATAATTTTATATTAATTCTTACTTTTTAGTCATTCTTGAACTAAATTTTTTGTATCAATTTCGGCTAAATATTTTTTTATACCAATTATATTTTGCTCCCCTCATAGACATTAATGGCTCCGCCCCTGACAATATACATTTTTTTTGGTATTTTTTATGTTTAATGGACTTCATGTATTAAATATAATATAATAAATATAAATATAAATATATTATATAATGTGACTGGTTAGGAAAAAAAATATTAATGTTTGTAATTAAAGTGTCCACTCTGAGCAAAATTCTTTGGTTTCGCCCCTAATCACAATGTTTGTTAATTTTTAAAAACAGTATTTAGTTTTCATTTACTTTTTTTTAAGTAATATTAGTCTACAACCTAATAAAATATGGTTATATACAAAAGATAAAATGTCGTAACCTAAAAATATTTCAAACTATTTTGAATAGAGAATTTTTCTATAAGATGATAATAATCTCAACCAAATCTTGCAACTAAAGAAAGAGTAGTTTTACTACGGACTTGTAATTGTGCACATGGATAGAAAATTAGTAAAAAAATTAATTTATATTTAATTTATATACAAAATACGTAATTCGATAAAAAATTGTTAAGATATGTACAGTATCGTGTAGGAATAATATTTGAAATAAAAATTATATTAAATTATAAATTAATTAAATATTAAAATAATTGAGTATGCGATAAAAATGAGTGATGTAATATTTTTGGGGAGAAAAATATATAGAGGATAAAATTCAACTTGTGAGCTATCTTATTATAAAGATATAATTAGGTTAAAATGTACTAAAAAAATTATTATGTGTCTTTTTGTTAGGATTATGTTGTGGCTAAATAAAAATTGAATTTACTATTTCACAATAATTTTATATTTATTCTTACTTTTTGTTATTCTTGAACTGAATTTTTTTGTATCAATTTCAACTAAATATTTTTTTATACCAATTATATTTTGCCCCCTCATAGACATTAATAGCTCCGCTCCTAACAATATATATATTTTTTGGTATTTTTTATGTTAAATAAACTTCATGTATTAAATATAATATAATAAATATAAATATAAATATATTATATAATGTGATTGGTTAGGAGAAAAAATATTAATGTGTGTAATTAAAGTGTCCACCCTGAATAAAATTTTTGGTTCCGCCCCTACTCATCTACTACCACATTTCTTAGATTTCGTTCCATCATTGTTGACATCGAAAACATGTATTTAACCCTAAAGATACATCAAATAGTAGCATAGACGAATCGTAAACTCACACGTCTTAAATTCGAATCATGTCAACCCCTTAAAATTCATTTGTTTAGTAAGAGAATGGTAAAAAATGACAAAAAGAGAATATTTTTAAATTTTTTATGTATTTGGTTAGTATGAAATAGAAAATGATGAAAAAATAATTTTTTTTCATACTTGAATTTTCTCTCAACTAACAAACTTTTTTTTCTTGTAAAAAACATAAGGAAATGCAAGAAAGTTGTGATCTATAATTAACTTCTCATTTTACTCTTATTTTTCTTAAAATATTTTATTAGTTATTAATTTAAAAAAAATATTGGGATGGATTTGATCAACTATATAATTTGGCTTTAAGACTTTCATATTGGTGCTTGTCCTGAGATTTGGTTACGGGTCACTTTTTTTTTTAATTTTTTAATTATAATATATATATTTTTTTCTTTAGACCGATTTAATATAATTGAGGGTAATTTCGNAGGATGCCACACAAGGGGAGAATGGCAGAGAAGTGGTTTGGGGTTTTACAATCTTGATTTTATTTTCCGTTATGATTTTGCCCCCTTCGATTTGCCTTAAAATTTCAATTTTCCAAGTTTGTTTGTTTTGGTGTATGTTTACATAATGCTATAGATATCACCAAGCGAAAGGTAAGGGTAACGTGAAAAACTCAATAGTTTAATACAACTCGGAAGCTGCTCGAAACTTTACTATAATGGAAATGTAACATTTTATGTCGCTGCTAAAACTTCAAAATTGTGGCCTGCATGCCGCAATGACAAAATCAAAATACAGTAAACATGTCCATGCCTTTATTTTTTTCCCCCTGGTCTCCTAAGGAATCAGGCTTAGCTTTAATTGAAAGTGGACTCTAACCAGTCTGATGTTAATTCATAAGTAACAAAGGTTACAGCACCAGCAGGTGCAGCTTTGACAACAGATGGAACAATGCCCTTATAGAGGCCAGCCCAACCCTCTGCCTGTGGAATTCGACGAAGAGCATCAAACATATTTTTGTAAGTGCGATGCTCAATTCGCGCTCCATACCTCGGATGCCTTTGTAGTCCTTCGATCTGCAATATAAATTTTCAAACATATATAAAAGCTGGAAGGATGAACAATATTCATAGACATTAGAATTGTTTTCTTTCACCCATTTCTTCAGTCACTTGTGTATTTACGGTGTCCAGGAAGAGTGAAAGAGACTGGTTTTTGCCTTGTTTACAGTGCAGACTGGAGCGAGTCCAGCATAAGCAACTTGGCCAAATATTTGCTTGCCCTCAGCCATACTAGTGAAACAAATTAATCAAGTGGTGGTCTTAATTGTGTTCCCAACTATAGTTTAAGCTTGGGAAAATTTCCATCCACACCCCTCTAGTCATGTCTAAATTTAATAACATCTCTTTCTGATTTTAAAACTTCACTGTACCCTTTTTTAGTTTATACTTTCAAATAAAAGACACCCCCATTAACCCCCATTAACGGTAATTTTTAACTCTACCAGTACAAAAAATATCAAAACTATCATTCCTTATATAAATATACTAAAATGCTCTCAACCTTTTTCTCACTATTTATACCAAACCCTTTGTTGTTGCTTAAGGTCAAAAACAATTTGGTGTTGCTAGAGGACATAGGGAACCGAAGACGACCATTTTTCTTCAACTCGTTCTCCACAGTGATCGATCACTATCTAAGTTGGTAAAAAAAAAATAAAATATATATATATATATATATATATATATATATATATATTTTTCCTTATAGATTTGTAAATGTTTTTCATATAGATTTTTAAAAAAAATTTCGTACAATTTTTTAAAAATTTTTTTCATGTAGATATTTTTAATTTTTTTCATGTAGATTTTTAATTTTTTTTCATGCATTTTTTTTTTAATTTTGTTCATGCACATTTTTTTTAAATTTTTTTTCTTCCATTTTATCATGTCAATATGTTGTGATGTATTATTGTAGTATTAATGTTTTCTTCGACGGTTGGTAGAGACAGAGACATAGAAGAGCGCATTGAAATTTAAATATTAAATTGATGATATTAATTTAATAAATTTAAATATTAAATTGATGAACTTAAGGTTAATATAATATAACTAAAACAGAGTGCATTGAAATTTCAGAATTAGGAGGAGATATTGTTAAAGATAAATGTACTTATAAGGGGTGTCGTTAAAGTTATGTATATTTTACAAAGGGTGTGGATAAAATTTACCTAATAAAATATTTTGGGATATTTCTTTAAATTATCAATTGCCGTTAATGCCGTAATTCGACAAACACTGATAGGGGGTGACATTGAAGTTTCAGAATTGGGAGAAAGTGTTATTGAATTCAAACCTAATTATAGGGGGTATAAATGAAATTTTCCCTTTCCGCTTTGGCCTTGATGCGTGTTTAGTCAAAGGAAAAAAAGCATTTTGTACCAACTGCTGAAAACTTGATGCTTGGTGATAACTAATTCACCATTTCGATGTTTGAATCTCCTCCCTAACCCAACAAAATAGACAATAAGAAAAATCTTCATATACTTGTCGATATATAAAGTGCAAGTACAGATATCACTTAGTTTAAGAAGGCTGGGCTCAGGGAACCAACCTGGAACCTCTTCTTGACCACATCAAGGGGGTGACATACAGCTTTGGCACATGTGCCAGATGCTAAGCCGCAGAGAAAGAGCTGGAAGCTCGGAAGGACATCAGCCGAGGGGTTTTCATCAGAAGATCTGAACCGGTTCCAGTCCTTTAAAAGACACAGCAAACCCATCAGCCTGAAACAAAACTCTAAATAATAAACTTTGCAAAAGAAAAAAAAACAGGGAAGAAAAAGCAGTTTGCACATTTGGTTGATATACCATGCATACATAGACAAGGTGTCCATGATTCCTATTTTTCCTGAGTCTTTGCGAGTCAGGACTAATCCCAAGGATCGCTTGAAGATCCCTACTAGAAGCAGTCGAATGCATCAGTACAGACTTCAGGGATCCATATTTCCAAACAGCAGAAGCATCAAGCAGCTATATTGGACATATTCGTACATGGGACGATCCCTAACGTGTACAAATGATGCATAAATACAAAATTAGAAGCCTTGGTTGCAGGTAACTGGCACCAACAACAATAAAGTTCCATTGCAGCATGACATCAAGAAGGGTCCATAAATTCGGTTTAGAGTAGGTAAATCCTTTGGATAAGCATTTGGGGTAATTGTGGAAGTGAAAAATGGTTTGGGGGGATGAAACCTTTATGATTGTACGAGTCACTTAGCAAGTACTGTATAATCCTAGGGAAATTTTTAAACCTTGAAGGGCGATCAGTCTCTGGTGACCTCTCTTTAGATCAATCTTAATTTCATCCAAGCAACCTGATCTATCAGATAGAGAGTTCACGAAGACTACACAGCCATCTCAGTTTATCAGTGTGGTACCCACCCAAAAATTCTATTTTCTTACTCGGAAACAAAACCCATCTTGTCAAAAGTGAAGAAAGTATACATGGTAGAAGTCCTAAAAATTCACACATATAGATTGTAGAGTAGACTTAAAATCTATAGACTGAAACCTACCATGGTCCAGCGCTTGAATGTATCATAGGTTCCAAACTGCATCCCAGCATAAGGAACAATCTCAACCAAAGTAGTTGACAATCCAGCATACAACCCTTGAAAGCCACGAGTTCTGATTACATCGACTAATGCAGACCTCATGTTCAAATACACCTGAATATAGGTACACCATCTTCGCTAATTATAAAATCATCATTTATAAGCATGAGGATTGGCTTTTGGTCGTAATATTACTACTGCAGTTCAGATTTTAATGGCAAAGAATTGAGAGTCCAAAATAATAAGGGTTCAAAATACGTACGAGCAGAAGTGCTCAAGTATCTAAAGTGATTGGGGTCTTCAATTTAGAGCTACTTATCTATTTGTGTCAGCTTTTTCTCGGAAACAAAAATACAATGATAAACTGATAGTTGATTGCATGTCTTAAACCCAATACCTTTGGCTCACCCTGGGAAGCCAAAATGGTTCTTAGAAGATCAAATGGATATGATCCAACAGTAGCTGCAGCTCCGGCTAATCCTCCGCTGATATAAGACAGGTAAGGACTTATACGAATGTGATGTTCTGCATCACAGGAAAACAATCAGCAGGCCATAACATGTGAGAAACCAAATTATCCTCAATGCAGTTGCATTTTCCTTGCATTGAGTAATATATAAAGTATTATGCTGTGTGCTAAAAGTTCAGTACGAATCTCATATAGAGAGCAGTACAAAACTTCTGGATGTTCATATGAAAATAAGCAGATGAGATTGCAATTTAAAAAGCTGGAGAGAGATGGCCCAAAGGCCCCAATGTGGCTCAACCACTATAGATCAGTGATATGGCCAAAAATGCTCCGCTCCCACTAAAATTCATTTAGGGAAAAGTTAATACAGAATTTCTTCGATGCATTAAACATTAGTCTTAACCATCAAATATGGCACCCTCAACCTTCAATGCACAAAGGCAATACCCATGAACACCAAACATCTTTCTCAAGCATTGCATTAACAACCGTGAGGTTGTGGTCTGAATTTGAGAACAGTTTAGCAAATAATGTCAAAACCCATTCCATTCCTCTCCACATTCTCGATTAACTGACCCCAAATTGGGTAATCATCCTCTGCATTTTGCAGATCTGAAGTGGGATATAGAACAAACCTTTCTTGGAAGAACCAGATGCAAATGTCTTCAATTTATGCAACACTGTGAATTGTATGGAAGTATATGGCATAACCATAAGAAGAGCTGGGACATTACCACGCCAGAAACCCTGGCAGAGCAATAAAGTAAAAAATTGCCGAGACATTATGTCATCTGTTTAGTTAATTAGTAACTAAAATAGTAACCAGCATAACACTTACTGAACAGAAAACATTCTTGTTGCACTACATATAAATTGATCATTACCCGGAAACCTTCCTCTCTAAAGATGTCTTTGGTTGCTTGCAACATCCCAGTATATTTCGATCTTACATATACATCTTTGTGTAGCAAGGCCCATGATGAAGTGGGTTCCAGCTGAACCTGTCATTAGGCACCAGTATCAGATTTTTTGGGTCTACCATGTAGCATGCAAGAACATGATGTGTGCTCACTCATTAACCACAGCCTCCAAAAATCGACCCACACACACACACACAGATGATAATCAAATAGAGTAATGAGGTTGGTAACAGTAGAATCCCATGTTTGGTCATTCCAAAAAAAGCCAAATATTCAATATTTGATAGTAATACTAATACACTTAGATCTTTTGGACTCATTTTTTTTTTGGTTGGCTAACAAAGGATAGTCCCGGCCATTCGCCCTTGGATTCGTGATTATGATACATATGTTGGATGTATGCAACACTTCTAAGCCACACAAATTGGACTAGTCAGTACACTCAACTTGAGATAGTAATCCCTGGGAATTAGCAATTTGAGCAAACCTTTAGGTAAACTTTTGAGGGTGAAATTTTAAATCAATTCAATGTTTCTATTCTGGGATCTTGGTGTTAAGAAGGAATGTAAATGGGTGTGCTGAGATACGCATGTGTGCTGTGAAAGTATGAAGATATCAGACAACCACCATTTTGGCATTTCCTTAAATAACATTCACAATCCAAAGGCCTTTACCATAGTAAAAGTGCTTACATAAATAATGAAGCCGAAGTATTTAATCCAAAATTCTAAAATTCGCGAGAAGGCCATAAAATATCCTAGAAATTACCCTAAACCACAAGATAGAAGACTGAGAAACCATGACAATTTTATTGGCATTACTTACAATTCCTGTGGGTACAATATATTTACAACATGTAGGCATTGCAAAACTTAATTTCAATTTTTTTTTTTTACTTTCAAATAAGAGACACTTGATGTGTGCTCAAAACACGACTGAGCAGATGAAATAGAATAGAACATAGCTTCGGTGTTGGGTTAATGTTTCATCAATGCACGACCAAATCTAAGAGCTTCAAAATATAAACAAGATAAATGAAGTTTGTTGGACTACTAATTGCTTCAAACGCTTAAAACTATTAGAGAATGAAGCTAATAATGAATGTTAAACTATTAAGTATTAACACCGACTCATATGGAACCCCTGCATACACATGGAGAATAAATATGACAATGCACCTCAATATGCACGCATAATGCTGAACCTAGGTGCAGCACCATGCACAATGACTATGGGAGAACATATGCAAATAGTGGGACTTGAATCCAATGCCTAATCCCTAAACCAACCAAACCTCTGATCCTATGTAAGACTATCACTTACTCAAAAAGCTTAAGATGCTAGAAAACGGGATTGACAATGTATATCAAGATCTCAACCAAATGTGAAGCCACATTAGGACTAAGGGGACCATGACGCTTTTAAGTTCTAGAAATTGCATTTTGACCTTTTAACCTTTGTCGAATTTTGAAGAATTATGAAGCTGCCCCAGATTGAAATATTGATTTTTCTCATTGTAGGCTATCTTAACACTTTATGGATTGGTGGGGCCAAAGTTTTGTGTTTCTGGTTTTGCCCTACAATCTCAACAAGGGGCATATATGTTTGATTTGGGCAAGAACTGAAAAGTGAGAGTAGTGACTACATTTGAGTAACAAAAGGAAGCAAAAATTGACCTGGAATCTGATCTTAATGACATCTAATGGAGACGTTACTGTACGAGACACACCGCCGGAGATCGCCCCTGCCGTAGCATCTATCAATGCTCGTTTCAGCTTCCCGGGCTCTTCCATCATCCCCAAACCAGCTTAGATTATCTATGTGATACAAAACCACATACCCAAATCAAGATCAACTCCTCCATAAAAAAAATCTAACATCACTTCACATTCCAAAACAATCAATCTCAGCAAATCAATATCTAAAAAACAACTAGTACACACGCCAAGCAGGTATGAATATGCTAATATAGATAGATAGATAGATACATACATACATACATACATACAATATATATGGATGTGTAGGAAAGTAGATACGGATTTTGGGTCAAATGCGTACAGTTCGTTTGGATGGATTGATTGGGGGAGGAGAAGAAAAAAAAAAAGAAGGGGAGGTGGGAAAAATATAATTTTTTATTCTTCCTGATTAGATGTTTATAATAAGAGAGAAGAGAATCACCTGTAATGCAAAAGTTGGGCATTGTCGTTGGAAGGAGTCGGACGAAAGTAGCTCAAAGCAGGAGAATAAAGAGAAAGATGGAAGGAAAGTGGAAGAATTGCATAAAATCCACTAAAAATTCTGATCTGATTCCCTACCTAACTAACTGTTCTCTACTTCCTTTTCGTTTGTGGCTCAACTATGAATGTTCGTTCTTTGTAACGTTTGACCAACACACCATAAGAGAACCAAGTTCCACGTACTCTGAGTGGGCAAGTGGATGGTCTTCTTTTTTTTCTCTCTCTCTCTCTCCCTTATTTTTTTTTTTCGATCACAAGATTGGAACTTACAATTAGTTCTATATTATTTAATGTAGATTAATTATAAAATATTCCCTTCAGGATTAAGTTTAGATCAAGTTGCAATCCACTTCCTGTTTGATTTTTAAGAAGGGTTAATTATATTGTACGTCCTTTTAAAGTATAAAATTTATTTTATTTTAATTTTTAATATTTTAATTGTATCATTTTGATTACTAAATAATTATTTACAGACAGTCAATCAAAATTGAAGAGCTACACAAACACATAAATCAATGTTGAAGATTTCCAATAAATTTGTGTAGCTCTTCAATTTTGATTGGTTGTGTGTAAAGAATCTATTTTTTTTATGTTTATATGTAATCCCTCAAACAGACAACATCTAAATTGCTAACGATTTTGATTATAAACTTGTCACGTGATACTTAAATATGAATAAAAAATAATTTAAGTAATTCTTGACTAAAATTTGGGTAGCTCTTGACA